TATCTGTTTGTTTATGCCCTCAGCTTATAATCATGACTTGAATATTAGTCTCTAAGAGGATATCGTTCTTTTCACATTTACTATCTTATTTTATAATTGGTTTGTTTTATTATTTATTTCCTCAAATAACATTGCATGTACATGTTCCTACAGTATTATAATTATTTTATAAGATATTCAGTTCATGGATGTACATGTACATTGTACATGTACATGCATGTATGGTGTGTATGATTTTTTTATAATGCATGCACATTTTGTTAGTACATGTGCTTGACTGCTGCATGTATGCTTGTATTTTTTTCAGTTTACTGTCACTTTGTTTTGTCATTCGGTATAGCCCAATCTACATACAGTTATTCTGTTGTGTATACATGTACATAAGCTGCTTCACTTTTAGAGGAAGGGAAACCAATAATGATATATTCTTAATAAGAAAGTCTCAGCTGGCACATCCTTTCATTTGAATGTAAACACATTGTACTTTGAATGTGACTCAGAGTTCTTCATCTCAGCCATCTTCAGCACCAACTGACATAGCAAAGGACAAGTTCGACAAACCTGTCCAGCCAGAAGGCATTACTTTCCCTTCTCATATGTTTGGATCTAATAAAAGATCATTCCAGCATACCTGGTACTCTATTTTTCTATGGTTGGAGTACTCGATTCAGCGAGACAGTGTTTACTGCTTTCCTTGTCGGTTATTAGGAGTAAGTCCCGATCCTATTCTAACAGTGACAGGGTTCTCTGACTGGAAACATGGCAAGGGAAAGGAGGAACACTGAATATTCATGATTCTTTCCATAAGCACATAGCAGCTGTACTTTCATGGAAGAATTTTCAGTCTACTAATGAGAATAATACTTCCATTGCCAACCAGCTAGAAAGAGGGAGAAAGAAAGTGATTAAAGAGAATTGACAGTATGTATTGCACATATTTGAAGTCATCCTATGTTGTGCACTGCAAGGCATACCATTGCGTGGGCACCTTGAGGTTGAACATGATGATTCTCTTATCAATGTTGGCAATTTCCTTAGTTTTCTCAAGCTTCATTCTCGCCACATTGAATTACTTCAAAGCAGAATGATATCTGGACCTAAGAATGCTACCCTTCTTAGCCATGACTACCAGAACAGTATGCTCTCAATCCTTGCTAAGAGTGTAATGGATTACATCATCAATGAAGTGAAAGAAGCACGTTATTTTACTATAATGGTAGATGAGACTAAAGACATTAGTATAAAGGAGCAACTAGCTCTCATTCTTTGTTATGTCCTAAAGGGAGTCATTCATTAGAGATTTATCTCTTACTCTTACTG